TCAAGCTATTTGGAAAATATAGTGAAGCTTACCCTTGCATCCTATATCATCATGGCCAAGATTAGTGTGTTGAAAAAAAATTAAATGTCTCAAGGAAATTATTAGAAATTATTCCAAAGACACAATGTGAAGATCTATTTCTGGAAAAAGGAACTTCTGCTTCCCTTGTATGTCTGGTTTCTGGGAAGGCCGTCACATGCCTTATGTTTACTTCACAGTGTGGGTTAGATAGAGATGATGGTATTCGCCACATAACTACTCTCTAGGTTTTTGATATCTAAAAAGTCTTCATATTTCAGCCACTCTAATTCAGTTTTTGGTAAGAAGGTGTGTGGCTTTAATATCTCTTCACAAACTTGTATTAATTCTATTCTTAATTGAGTTCAAGTTCTTTTGAAGGAGAGTTGACATTGTGCAAGTTCTATTGGCATTACGAATTTCTGTGACAACTTTGCAAGCAATCTCCTGAGTTGGCAAAGTCTGGGAACAAATGTCAACAGTCACTGAGATAACTTAAGGTATAGAATAAACAAGAAAAGGGAACTTTCAAAATTCCTTGACATAGTAAATGCCAAAAACATCTCCTTGATACCAATGAAATATCCACAGGTGAGAGGCTAGTTATGTAAAGTCCTGTCAAAAGAAAATTCAGCCTTGACTGGTGTGGCTCAGTGGCTGGAGTGCTGGCCTGCAAGCTGAAGGGTCTCTGGTTTGATTCCCAGTCAGGGCACATGCTGGGGTTGTGGGCATGGATGGGGACATGTGAGAGGCAATGGATTGATGCACCTCTAACACATTGCTATTTCTCTCCCTCTCTTCCCCCTCCCCCCACCCCTTCCCTTCTCTCTAACAGTAAATTTAAATAATCTTTAAAAAAGGAGAAAATTCAGAGCTTTATTTGATATGAATCTTCTATTGAGCAAGAAACAAAATACTTGTAAATAGGGAGACTTAAAGTTGAAAGAGGCTAGAAGCTCCACTTTTAGCAGCTATAGATCAGTCTATAAAGCATTGAGGGAACACAAAATTTTTGTTATTGTGATTGGTTACTAAAACTTAAAATCTTTTAAAAGTAGTAGCACTGTATAAGCTTAATTGTGTATATATAGCTGATTGGCTAGGAAGTGATAAGGTCAGATTAATATGAAGAAAGCTTAAGTTTTGTTTCAGGTCAGAGTCAGCATTTATGGAAATCAGGGCAGTTTAAGTTTCTGTTACATGACTATGAGGCTTGGTCTAAGTGTATTTTCAAACTGTGGTCTTCATTTTGTATTTTCCTAAACAGTTCTTACCTGTTCTAAATGTACAGCATAATTCAAGTTCAGGAAGCATTAATTTGCTCTGTTTGTCAAGTATTTATCACACTGTAAATAAAAAAAACTTCTAACCCCAAAACTGGTATCCCTTATTCTTGTGCAGTGGATTAATATTTTGGACCTTAGGAATGATTTCTCTGATGTAAAGCGCTTAAGTCATACTATAAAACAATAAATCAAATTTTCTGAACAGAATCTTGGTCATATACTTGTTTGGTTCATTGAACTCATCTGGTATCCCAGAGTTGTATTACAGGGACTCTGAAATGTTAAAACTAAAACAAGTAAGAAAAAAATATTTATTAAATATTAAAAATAAGTGTTTTATTTTAAAATGATATATACTCTACTGTGAATGGGCCCTGAAAATAATGGACAATGAATGCTTAGTGAGAAACAGTAGATGGATGAAATAGATCTCAAGTTCAGGAGCACTCTACATTAACCACTATTCAATACTTACTCTAGAATTGTGTTTCACCTTCTAAACTGTAAGCTTCTTGAGAGCAAACATGATGTCTTCATTTTCTCCACAATGTTTAGCATAGTTTCTTATACCTAGAATTAATAAAAATAGCTAGTTAGCATTTACTGAGTATGTGTGTTTATTCAACATATGTAATCTCAACAACCTATGTGTCTGTATAAGTAGCCTGTTTACAGATGAAGAAATTGAAGCTCAAAGATAATGTGATCTAATTGAGATTTTATAGCATCTAAGGGACTGAGTCAAGATCTGAACACAGATATGAACATAGAGCCCACTCTTTGCTGTATTCATTCACCATAGTAATTTATTGATAGCATTAAATACACATTCGCTTAATTGATCAATGCTTTTGTGAGTTCAGAATAAGGATTTTATTCTAGTCATAGAAGTCCTTTCAGGCTTCAAAACTATGACTAAACTACAAAAAAATCATTCACACCTGCCTGAAATCTAGCTGAATGGAAGTTTTACAACTAGGGATTTAAAGAAGCCATATCAAAGCTGGTAGGAGGGTCAGAGACGTGGAATGGGCTGGTCTCATACCCACAAGTGGTGGATAAAAATTGGGAGAGATATCTTGCCTATCCTGAGAAGTGAGGGGTCCTGGCCCCACTCCAGACCCTTCGCCAGGGTTCTAGTGCCAGGAAGAGAAGTCCCCATAACTTCTGGCTATAAAAACCAACAGGGATTTTGGATCAGTAAGACAAAGGGCTTCTGGAGTCCCAGATGTTCCTCTTAAAGGGCCCAACCACTGATTTACTTGGACTTGTTCCCTTTGAGCTCCAGTACTGGAGCAGAAGCTTGAAAAGCACCAAGACATATGGGGAGCACCTGAATTGTCCAGCATCAGGGTGAGAACTGGAGGAGGGGACAACTTTCTGCCAGGCAAAAGTGCTGGCAGAGGCCATTGTTCCTTTTCAGAGCCCATCTCCCAGAAAGGTGGGCACCATATCTGAGTCTCCATCAAATTGGCTCACACAGTTCACCCTGCCTGGTGATTCCCTGAGAGCCCAGCCCACCCAACTGTTTCTAGGGGTTTATCCATATGAATGGCCTGTCTTGACTCGTGCTGCAGACTTTCCTAAAATCTCAAACAAGCAGCATCTGGCTCAGCATGACCCCAGGTCCAGTAGTAGCAGCAGCTCTTTGGAATCTAAACATAATGGGTTGTTTTTAATCACAATTTTGGGTTTATGGCTTCAAAGCAGGCTTTGATAGGGCTTTATTCTGAAAGACATAGTATTGATGTTTTTCATATCCTGTCTAAAAGAACTTGAGCCCTGGCTGGTGTGGCTCAGTGGATTGAATGCCAGCCTGCAAACCAAAGGGTTGCTTCCTAGTTTGATCCCTAATCAGGGCACATGCCTCAGTTGCAGGCCAGGTCCCTGATGGGATGTGGGTGAGAGGCAACCACACCTTGATGTTTCTCCCCCTCTCTTTCTCCCTCCCGTCCCCTCTCTCTAAAAATAAATAAATAAAATCTTCAAAAAAAAAAAAAAAGAACATGGACAAGTGAGAAATGCAGTATGGACATCAAAATGTTACATTATCAAAACGTTGTTGATACTGAAACATGTAATTTGAAATTCAGGCAATTTATGAAAAATTAACTACTAACAGGCAACCAGAAAAGTCTTTATTTCTGTTTGAAGGGAATTTTCATAGCATTGAAATGAGAAATTTAAAAAAACAATGAGGAATAAAAAAAAATTAACCACTGGGAATCACTTGCTTCACTTGGCTTCCATGGCATGCTACTCCCTTGATTTTCCCTTCTCGTTCTTCTGTAGTAGATCCTCCTTTTCTCTCCAGCTCTTCCTGTGGGGCTTTCCCAGGGCCATTCCTTCATACTCTTTTCTTTTTCAGTTCTCTAGCTACACTCACTATAATGGTTTGAAATACTCTCTATATGCTGATGACTCCCAATTTTTTATCTCTAGCCTATGTCTCTCCTACAGAATCATGCATCCCAATTGACTACTTGAAAACAACATTCATGACTAGTGTCTCAACCTGAACATTTGGAGAACTGAAATCTTAATCTTCCCCTTCAAATTTGCTCTACCTGAAGTCTCTCCCATCTCAACTGACTTAACTCCATCCTCCCAGTTGCTCAGTTCAAAAGTCTTGGAGTGGTCCTTGACTCTTCTCTTTCTCTCATGTCCTTCATTCTAATCATCAAGTACTTTTGAAAAAAATCTGATCACTTTTTCCCACCTCCATTAGAACCACACTGGTTCAAGACACCATCATTTCTCCCCTCCTTTCACTTTCTCTCCCCTGAAGTCTATTCTCAAAAGAAGAGTCTGAGTGATGCCTTTAAAATACAAGTCAGGTCATGTTATTTTTTTTTTTTTTCAAATCCTCCAAGAGATATGCATCTCACATAAAACAAAAACCAAAGTTCTCACACAACCCCTCACAATTTGTCATTCCTAACACCTTCCTCCCCTTACTCCTCTTTCTCATTTGACTCCCGACCTCCACGGTGTTTCCCAAACATGCCAGGCTTGCTACTGACTATGCACCTTGGAGCTGTCAGTTTCCTTTGCCTGGAGAGCTTTTGTCAGATTAGCACTTCCACCCCCATCATTTCCTTCAAATCTCTGGTCAATGTAACTTTTTCAACAAAGCCCATATGATTTCCTGTTTATTTTTTTATGTATTCATTTTAGAGAGGAGGGGGAGAGAAAGATACAAATTTGTTGTCCCACACATCTATGCACTCATTAACTCTTGCATGTGCCTTGACCAGGGATAGAACAGCAACTCTAATGCATCTGGAGGAGGCTCCAACCAGGTTAGCCAGGACATGTATGATTTCCTTTTTAAAAGCTGCAACATGCTCTTCTACCCTGTCATCTTCTTTTACCCTGTTCTATTTTTTTTTCATACGTGTATTATTTTTATAGCTCATCACACTATTTGTGAGTTCATTTTAAGTTCATTTCCCGTAGAATGTAAACTCTCTACGGCAAAGATTTTGTTCCAATGTTTGGAGGGCTGGGCACACAGAAAACGCTCATATAGCTGGGCAACCCTCTTAACAATCCTCAGACCTAAATTACACAAACTTCTTAAGAAGCTAAAGCTCACGCAGCACTCTACTGTTGTCGTTAAGAGAACTTCCCTCCCCCGGAAATCAAAGCTTAAGGAGGCCCAGTGGAGGAAACTATTTCCGTTTCCGTACAGACGCCAAGGAACAAACACTATGGAGGAGACCGGCGGCAGCCGAAAGAAAGCCCTGAAACGCAAAAGCGCTACCGAAGAACCTCAAGAGGCGGCAGTCGTTAAGGATGAAGCGACAGAAAGCGGGGTCCAACCCCCCAAAGTGTCTGCCTTTCCTCCAGGCTTCAGCATTTCCGAGATCAAAAACAAACAGCGGCGACACTTAATGTTCACGCGGTGGAAACAGCAGCAGCGAAAGGTACCCGAGGGGCGGAGGCGGCAGGACGCATGCGCGGTGTCTTTTGCGCGCGGGTGGTGGGGACGTAGGTGGGGTTGTTGAATTTGCTGGGTCCCCTTGCCTGGGGTCCCGAGTTGTGGTGACTAATCCGAAGGGTTTGGATTGTTGGGCATGTTTTGTCCTGTTCCCGTCGTCCTGCTTTTTGTTTGAGCGTCCGTGATTCCTTTTCTTACCAGCTTTTTGCTAGGGGGACTCTGAGAATGAAGCAATTTTCGCTACTGCTCCCGGGTAGTGAAAATTACTTCCTCTTGATCTAGGAGGCAATCCCTCTTCTTGGTCCCATCCTCCTCCGGTTGGTTAATTCACAGAATCTAATGCAGGCAATACATAAATTAAAAGTGATAATTCTCTGATGCAACGCTTACCGAAATTAGTGCTGAATGTTTCTAGTAATTGTATTTACTCTTTATAGCGTTGTCCTTATACTCTTCTGGAAAGTAATCAAATAGGGGGAGATAAATAAAGCCCAAGCTGACAGTGCTCATTTGTGGTTAAATTGCAGTTAAAAGCAGAATTTGCTTATTCTTGCACATTATAAAAGTTCATACACATAATATTCTTTTTATGTGCCTGCCTCCTCGTACTAGACTGTTTGAAGCCCTTGACTGAGTCTTACTTGGCCTGATTGCCAAGTAAGGAGTACGTTGAAGGAGCATCTAACCCATTCTGGTGTTTGAGTATGGGGGAAGGGTGCCCTAGAAGACTTCTTGCAGCCTAATAGATTGAGAGTTAATAACGCCAATGGGGAAAAACTTTTTCTGTTGTGTGTTAAGCATTTTCTTCAGAAATATCCAGAAGATACACATTCACAGTACAGTCTTAACTCACCTTTCAAGTTCTTAACTTTTAAAAGCACATTTTGATTACGAAATACACGGAGAGCTAGTGATGCTTTTTTAGAAGCAACGTGAAAATGAATCTCCCATTCCCATTTATTTTTAGTACTTCCCCAGAGAAACAACCAGCATAGACATGACTTTCTTTAGGAGTGCAGGAAAAAACAGCAAAGTTTTTTTTAGATATGCTTTGTGCATTTTCACTTAATTTGAAATTTTACAGTAAAAAAGTTAGTGAAGCTTTATATATTCAAAATTGGCCAATTTAGATATTTTTTTTTTGAAGAGGAAGCAGGCTTTTTGTTACAGAAATCTTATTGATGGGCCGGCTCATTTATTGTACGATAACTTACAAAAATCTATGTCAGCATTTTAATTTTAATACATTATGAAGATTACTCAGTGTAAGCATTTGTAGCATTAGTAGTTTGTAGTTTCTGTATGTGTTTATGATTTAACTAATGCCTTCTCAATATTGTTCTTTTTTCAAACCCTTTAGGAAAAGTTGGCAGCTAAGAAAAAACTTAAAAAACAGAGAGAGGCTCTTGGTGATAAGGTAAATAAACTTTTTAGCTCAATGATATTTATGTTGCATGGCATAATTTGTGAAGTATTTCAGATGTGTGATAATAATATAACAAATCCCTTTCTACTCTTTACCCAGCTTAAGATATAATGCATTAGCCCTGGCTGGTGTGGCCTAGTGGATTGAATGCTGGCCTGTGAACCAAAGAGTTGCCCATTCGATTTCCAGTCAGGGCACATGCCTTGGTTGCCGGCCAGGTCCCTGGTTGGGAAAGGGGGGAGGGGGAGATCATGAGAGGGAACCACACCTTTATTTTTCTCTCCTCTCTTTCTCTCTCCTTCCCCTCTCTAAAAATAAATAAATACAATTTTAAAAAAACAAAACATACAACTCTTCCCCCCTCCCATTTCTTATGATGAGGTACCAAGTAAAGATAAGTGTTTGAAGAAGGGGAAATTATAGACAGTATAGAAATAAAACACTGCTTTTTCATGCATTCTCTTAGCAGTATTATGTTAAATGACATGAAATTGCCAATATTAGACTATTTTGACCTGCAAAATTCTATCAAGCAGTGTTAGTCTCTTTTTAGCTCTCAATAATCAGTTACAGCAACTTAATATGCTGGTCACCATTTGAAAATACCACCATTCTGGGGTTTTTTTGTATTGAAGGATGACTTCCTGGAACTACTTTTTTCAAAAAATTATTTAAAATTTTGTATTTGTTTTGTAGAGTAATAAAAAATAAAATCCTAAATACCATCAATTCATATTCATATCTCTGCTAGTGTACATACATTTTAACTGTTTCAGTTAGTGTATACTCATGATTCTGTTGCCTTCTCCTTACCATTTCATTTACCCAATTTTTGGTCTAAGCTGAGTATACACGATCTCTGATTGCAACAATATTCCATTATGTTCAAGTGCTATAGTCATTATCCTGCTGTTGGACATTTGCCCTATTTGCTGTTCATTTCTATAAACAATAGTGATCCTACATCTTTCTTTATGTAAATTGCTCCCCTCTTTAAATCCCCCAAACTAGAATTACTAGTTCCGCAGATGGAAACAGATTTGTAGCTTTTGTTATATGTTTCTGAACAGCTTTTTGGAAGTCTTGGGACAAAGCTACATGTATATGTACTTTGTAATTTTTTCCATTTTGTTTGATATCTCTATTCTTAATAGACAGTTATTTTGCTGTCGCTTTTTCCTCTGTGACTTTTGTCTGGTTTTAAGTCATTTGATCCAGTGTTGGCAGTTCTTTTAGTATGTGTGTGTTTCTGGTAGAGAGTTAATGAGCTTTTTTTACTCAGAGTTGTTAGGATTGATTTAGCAGTGTGTTGAAATGAGGAACAGATTGCGTTTTTGGATTGTTTGCAAATTTCTGTTATTCTTCCCACTGTAATGCAAAATTATTTATGTAAAATGTTTCTTACTACAACTTAATCTTTTTTCTTTTATTTAGGCTCCACCCAAACCTATACCCAAGACCATTGACAACCAGCGAGTGTATGATGAAACCACAGTAGACCCTGCTGATGAGGAGGTAATGAAAAATGATCTGTTCGTATGTTGTTTAAAGTACTTGCTGGTGGATTTCTATAATGGATTGATACAGCTCTACTGTTGGCATATTACCTTATTTGCTGTAGATTTTATAATAATTAAATTTCCCAATAATGCTATAGAAAAAGGCAGTGATTTGTTTTCCAGAAATGTATTCTATTTTATACCTACATAAACTTCCTGTCATTAATACTCCTTTCTTTTTAAAGATTTTATTTATTTATCTTTAGAGGGAAAGGGAAGGAGAAAGGGAGAGAAATATCACTGTGTGGTTGCCTCTCATGTGTCCCCTGCTGGGAACTGGCCTGCAACCCAGGCATGTGCCCTGACTGGGAATCGAACTGTGATCCCTTGTTTTTGCAGGTCCACACTCAATCCACTGAGCTACACAGCCAGGGCTAATACTCCTTTTTTATACATCATTTGAAAAGTATTTCTCATACTGTAGAATTTTGTAGTACCTGTTATACATTTTGATACTTAGGAATAATATTTGATGTTATTTTTTGTGTCCTCATAAAACTCTTCATTTCAACGTAATCTTCTACTTTTTACATTTTAACTTTAAATAGTTTGCAACAGTACAGTCAGAGAATCAAGGTTTTTAAAACATTGAATATATATATTTTAAATCTTTATAAGGGAAACTTGGTTTTGTTATGTCGTTTGCCTTCGAACCGTGCATTTAATGAAAGTATTTTCACGTATCTCCCGATACAATCATTCATTCAGTCAGTCTTCCACCAACATTTATTGATTGCCTACTCTGTGTTGGAATTTGTTTTTGGTATTAGAGATCCATCAGTACATAAAACACTGTCACACATATACCCACAAAATTACTGTCCACCCAGAGCTTGCATTGCAGGAGGACACACAAACAATGAATATACTCAAATAAATTGTCATGTGTTAGCAGATGATAGGTTACTAGAGTTAATAAGTAGGTAAAGGAGATTCAGGACTACCTGGAGTAGAATTTGCAATTATATATATATATATATATATATATATATATATATATATATATATAGGAATTTGTAAGAATGTATACATTTTATTTATTTTGACATGATTTCAGACAGTTGAAAAATAGAAGTTCATGTATATATCCTTCACCCAGATTCCCTAAATATTAAATTGTACCACACTTGGCTTTCATTTATGTTCTTTCTGAAATGCTTGAGAGTAATGGCAGACATGAAGCCTCTTTACTTTCTGTATACTTTTAGTATGTTTTTACCTGTAAACAAATGTATTTTTAAAATAAGCACAGTGAATAGTTGCCAAAATCAGGCAATTAACATTGATACACAATATTATGTAATTTCTACAGCTTATTCAGATGTTACCAGTTGTCCCAATGACACCATTTTTAGCAAAAAAAAATCCCCAAGATTATGCATTTCATTCCATTATAATGACTCTTTAACCTCCATAAATTGGGAACAGTTCCTCAGACATTTCTTTGCTTTTATGACATTAATATTTTTGAACAGTACAAACCAGGTATTCTTGTAGAATTTCACTGAAAATGAGTCAGGTTTGTTCATGATTATATTCAGTTTATTTACTTTTGACAGGAATACTATAGATATGATGTTATGTCCTTTTCAGTACCTCTTATCAAAATTGGTACTATTGATTTTCCCATTACTGGTTGACTTTCATTACTTCATTAAAATGCCTGCCAGGTTTCTTCTGTTATAGCTACAGTTTTTCCCTCTGTAATTAATTAATAAGTATTTGGGAGGGGGGCTTGAGGTTTATGTAAATAAATGTTACTCTTCAAACTTTCAAGACTTCTGTAATTACAAATAATTTTTTTCAGTCTGATAGTTGAGAAATTATCTCACCATAGTTTTAATGTGCTACTCTCTTGTAATGAATGAGTTTGAACTTCTTTCTTTTTGATCAGTTATTGTTCATGTTTCTTGTTCATTTTTCTGTTGGTTTGGGTTGCAATTTCATATACAGTGAACAGGATAGGCTTCATGGAGGTGGCCTTGAGCAAAGACTTGAAGAACGGGGAACAGTACTCCAGAGTGGGGAAACAGCCCGTGGAAAAGCTCTAAAGTAGGAGCATGCTTAGCATGTTTTTGAGGAAAAGCAGAGAAGCTAACTAACATGCTGAAATTAAGTGAGCAATGGGGGAAAAACTGTAGAAGACAGGACAGGAAAGTAAGGGGAAATGTGGAGCCGGATTAGTGACTTTGTTGGCTATTGTGAGGAATTTGGTTTTTACAGCTAGTGAAATGAGGATCCATTGGGTGGTTTTGAACAGAGGAATTATGTGATCAGACTTAATTTTTAAAAGTGACTGGTTACTGATGATATAATGTGGTAAACAAACTAGTTAGCTACTAAAGTAATCTAGCAAAGACATGATGACAAGATGACTTGGAGCATGGTGGTTAATTGAATATTGAGAATTGCTCTGAATCTGAGGTGGTTTTTTTGTTCTAGGTATATTTTGAAATTTAGAGGCACTAGAATTTCTTGAAAGATTGGTTATGCAGTGTGGAAGAGTATTCAATGGTATGGAGGTTTTAGCCAGAGCAGTTAGAAAATGAAGAGGTTTGGGCTGGAGATAAATTGGGGATCATAGGCGAATCATTTTGATTCGAGTTTGCATTTCCCTGATTTCTAATGTTACTGAGCAACCTTTTGGGCATGTACTGTGATTTTGGTAAAGATATGCCAGCTTATGTGTTTTGCCCAAATTTTCTGTCCTACAGTGTATATCACTGATTTATAGAACTTCTGTTTATAATTTGAATACTGATTCTATGTGTTACAAGTATTTTCCAATTTGTGTATTCTCTTTTTACTTCTTTATGATGTCTTTTGATAAACAAAAGACCTTAATATAGTTGGATTTAACTTTAAAAAATATTTATGCTTTTTTGTCATAATTAAGAAATCTTTCCCTATCCTAGGATCATATGTTCTCATATTTCTTCCTAGAAGAATTGAAGAGTTGCCTTTCACATTTATGTATGTAGTCATCAGGAATTAATTTCTCTTTCTGGTGTGAAAGTAAGCTAATTTCTTTCCTTCTTGTCCTGCCCTCTCCCTAACACAGATAACCAGTTTCCCAGCCCCATTGTGGGAGTATCTGCAACCTTTCCCTACAGTGACTTGTAATGCTGTGTCATATATCAACTGTCCATATATGCTTGGCTTTTCTCCTGGGCTTTCAGTTTGTTTGGCAAATTTGTCACTGTATCAGTTCTTTTTTTTAAAACACAAAATAAAAAAGTTTATTATAAAGCTATTTTTAATATGATAATGTGATATCTACATAGGGATTTATTATGAGACCATTTTTTTATTCTGCTTGTTCATTTATTTTGTCTTTTAGATTCGCTTGTTGATAGGCAAGTATTTATTGCCATTTTGTTCATATTTTTTATCTTTTAGTTTCATTTTCTTCTTAAAGAAGAGTCTTTAACATTTCACATAATACTGGTTTGGTAGTGATGAACGCCTTTAGCTTTTTCTTGTTTGGGAAGTTCTTTATCTGTCCTTCAATTCTAAATAATATGTTTGCTGGGTAGAGTAATCTTGATCCTTGCTCTTCATCACTTTGAGTACTTCCTGTCTCTTCTGTCCTGTAAAATTTCTGCTGAGAAATCAGCTGACAGTTTTAGGGGAGCTTTTTTTTAGGTAACTGCTTTTGTCTTGCTGCTTTTAAGATTCTTTGTCTTTAACCATTTGCATTTTAATTATGATGTGTCTTGGTGTAGGCCTCTTTGGGCTCATTTTGTTTGGGACTCTCTAAGCTTTCTTGATGTGTTTGTCTATTTTCTTAAACAGGTGAGGGAAGTTTTCTGTCATTGTCTTTTCACAGTGGTTTTCAGTGTCTTACTCTCTCTTCTTCTGGCGCCTCGATGATATGAATGTTGGTATGCTTGAAGTTGTCCCAGAGGCTCCTTACACCAGGGTCTCCAAACCCTGGGCTATACAGAGCAGAAGGTGAGCAGAAGGTGAGCAGAGGGTGAGTGAATGAAGCTTCACTCACATTACTGCTTGAGCTCTGCCTCTTGTCTTCCACAAAATGGGTCCCTGGTGCCAAAAAGGTTGGGGACCTTTTCCCTTTTTTGATTGGATGTTTTTTGCTTCCTTGTATTCCAAATTGCTGGTTTGATTCTCGGCTTCATCTTCTCTACTGTTGAGTCTTTGTAAATATTCTTCATTTCAGTTTGTGTATCCTTCATTTCTCACTGAGCTTTTGTGTGTGTTTTGTTGTCATCATCGTTGTCGTAAGTTCTCACTAAGTTCAATGAGCATCCTTATATCCAGTGTTTGTAACTCTGCATCTAATAGATTGATTGTCTCCCTTTTGTTTAGTTGTTTTTCTGGAGTTTTGTTCTGTTCTTTCATTTGGGACATGTTTCTCTGTCTCATTTTGGCAGCTTCCCTATGTTTGTTTCTATGTATTAGCTACATCTCCCAGGCTTGGTGGAGTGGCCTTTTGTAGTAGGTGTTCTATAGGGTCCAATGGCACAGCCTTCCCAGTCACCCAAGCTGGGCACTCCAAGCTCCCCTTACCCCCTTTCCCCCAGTGGGCAGTGTACACCCTCCTCTTGTAGTTGAGTCTTGGTTGCTGTTGGCACTTCAGTGGGAGGGGTTTACCACCCCAGGCCTATAGGCTGTGAGGACTGGCTGCAACCACTGACCACTGTGGAGGATTAGCTGTGTAGGGGCTTTGATGCTCTGAGTCCAGCCCTTAAGTGTGTCACTTGTGCAGGTATTTGGGATATGATATTTAGATGTAGTCTAAAGCTCTCCATCAAGTGTGCTGGCTCTGGGGCCACCTGGGAGGTGTAGGCCAAGGTCAGCCAATGCCTGTGTTCTGACCCAGGGCCACCCAGCATGAGCTACAAAGTGATCAGCAGATGGCACCTACTTGTGCTGGGCTTGGAGGTGCCCAGGTGAGGCGACGCTGCAAATAAGGCCAGTTGTTGCTAGTGCTGG